TTGGTTGCTATTGTTGCTGTTGGTGCTGTTGTTGTTAATTGCTGACTTAATGGCGCTTTAATTAAATCGCAACACTGCAGGCGGCCCAAGTTTCAGGACATAAGGTAGTCGGGGGCTAACAGCAGCGGTGGGGTGGGAGGATTAGGGGGATGGATGGAGGATTGGATGGAGGACTGGATGGTGGGATGGTCTGATGGCGGAATTCTTGCACATGGCGACTTCCTGTTAGTCAACAGCCAACCCTCCAGTTGACTTGATTTGTGACCCTTTGTTAGTTGTAAACCGGTCGAAAGTTGTAAACTGTTTTTGCCATTTTATTTTATCAATAAAAGCTGAAATATGTCTGTCGGTTTGGAGGTTTTAAGGCTGAGAATTTAATATTATAGAAACAAACTAAAAAATCTGTAAGACTTTAAAAATATAATGAAAAAAATGCAGCCAAATTAGAGGAATTTTAGAGAAGTTATGGACTTTTTAATATGATCCTCTAGTAACTTTGCTTAAGTGGCTTGTCCCAGAGAGCCAAAAAGTATGCAACAAAATTTGGTTTTTTTATTCAAATCCTGTGAGCTAAGCTTAAAAAGTGTTTATTTAAGAAAATATAATTTTTAATAGTATCTAACTTTTAATTTAAGTATTTAAGTTCTTCCTTAGTCTCTTTTAGCTCCTTTTAGCTTGTTTTCCATGATCCCTGATTGGCAGTACTGGCCATTACCACTCACCCACCAAATTATTTAACCAAATGGCCAAAAACTGCAGCTGCAGCTGTCTGGTTTTGTTTGGCGATAAGTTGCTGTTTTGGGCCAGTGTTTTTGGTTTTTCTGGCAGACACGACTCTAGATTCGATCTAAGGGCGCCAAACGCAGTGGTGTTTAATTGTTGGTTTTGCTGTCTATCAAGTTGAATTATTTTAGTGGTTTATTGCTCTAACAGAACCGAACCGAACCGACCAGACCAGACCAGAGCAGTCGGGTGTAAAAATTTAATTAATGCAACTCCCCAAGTAAACAAGAAACAAAACAGTAAACAGCAACCGGCTTGGTTAAATCGAATCACTCTGGTACTTGGCCCTTGTCGAAATTTATTAACTTTCCCCCCTCGACAATTGGCAAGTAGTTTGTGGCATTGTTTTCCGTATAATATTTACATTTAATCAAATGGAAAATCCACTACGATAACTGGAAGCTGTAATAACAATCCAGTAGCCAGTAGAAGCCCGTAAACATAATCGCAACAGTTTTTGGCGCTTTTCCGCCGGTTCATCGCGAATCTATTTATTTTGCGGTTTCGAGTACTGCGGTTCTCCATGAAATATACATATACTCTGTGTATATGTAAGTTTGTACATCATTTTAATTAAAAGCGGTAAAAAACACATCAGCCACTATGCCCAGATGCAGTGGGTGAACTGCATATAATATATACACACCAGATAAAAATGCAATATGTCCGCAATACCGCAATTTGTTTAACATTCCACGCAAACGCGAACTGCATAAACAATTAAAACCGATTGAGTTAAAACTTGTATTGGTTATACCACCAAAAAAAATAAAGAACCGATGGATTGTGCAAAACCACAGGATATAAAAATATATATCCTTTATATGCTTATATATGCTATTTTGTAATCTCAAATTTCGATCAATTGCCGCAGAAACCGTTTGATGTGTTTACTCATATTTAATTGGTTTAGTGGCGTTGCCGGTCGGAAATCGATATGGCTCAGAGTCATAGTGCCACAAATCATCATAATTTATAAATAATAAAGCCGTTTAAATGATTTAAAAAGCGTTTTGCATATTTCATGGCTGTTGTGCCCGGAATACAGGACCTCTGGCTGCCAATTAAATGCTAAATAGATTAAAATAGCAAAATGCAATGATAAACTCCATCAGAAATTCTGATTTATGCCTGCCTAACTAGGGGGACCTAGACACAAAAGCCCCAAACCCCTAATTAATTTCACGTTTTTCAATTAAAAATAGCACTAAGCTACAAAATGTTGTATTATTTTAAAGATAATTTAATATGAAAGATATTTCAACGTCATGGGATATGGTTTTCAGAATTTAATCTAAAATTATCACCTTTAAATATCATATAAATTATCTACCGTTTTACACAAAACCCTTCCCTGTCTTATCTCTGACACATCAGCCACAGTTTGCATCAAACAGACAATCATAATGCCTCAACTAATTGCTCATTAATTCCCAAACATGATTTCCAATTCAATCAGACTTGGCTAATTACAAAACTTAATCCAATGGAACGGACAACCACCTCACACACCACTTAACCACCCAGTTCCGGTCCCAGTCTCATTCCAAATCCCTTTGTCCCTCGTCCCACCTGTTGAGGTCCAAATACGCGTTGGAGACTTCCGCTTACAATTCCCTTGATTTCCTCTTTTTTCCCGGCCCTGCGATCCATGTTGTTTCACGGCAAACTCAAGCTCCGGATTTTTTCCATTTAGTTTGTTTTGTTTTCCGATTTGCTGATGTTTTTTTTCTTTGGTGTTTGTCGTTGTTGCGCTTCAGAAGCAAAAACCTATAACGCGGCTTTTTTCCCTTTCAACTTTCAGCTTTCCCTTCGGGGCCTGCCATTCAAAGTTTTGTCGTTATGAGGGAACGGCTGAAAAAGCGAATGTCCACTGACAGCTTCGAGGACGAAGGCAAAAACAGATTGGCAATACCGAGGGGTAATCTAACTTTCTGGAGGGTATATAAAATCTATATAAATTTTGGGTTTTATTCAAAAAAGTTTCTTTTCTTATAAACTTTATAATAGAAGCCTATAGCACATATATAATATTTCCATTAATAAAAATTTGTAGTCATAAAAAGGGTATTTCCGATTCTATATCCTCTTTGAATCCCTTCAGTTTTGTAATTAGAACTGCAGAAACGTATCCTTTGGAGAGAGGGCAGCCATGGGGTCAGCAAATTCGCATCGCTCAGTTTTTGACACGCACGGCAAATATGTTTGACTGAAGCCAAAGGACCTCGGACCTTATAGCCCAGGTCCTTTTCAAACATCATAAAGAGTGTCCGCAAAAAATACCTTATGTAAACAAGCTTTTTGGTCATTTTTGGAAAAAGGTTTTGAAAAATATTTAACCATACAGTTAGCTATTTAAAGTAAATTTTTAATTTAATTTAAAAGGTTCAAAAATTTTAATTTATTTTAAAAATCATTTTTGATCTTAATCTCTTTCTTAGATCTTTCTTAGATTTTTGAGTTAATTTAATACTTACTTCTCTTAAAAGCCATTATCCTTTATAAAATAATATCAAAAAACAATTAAATTATTTTGTTTATTATAATTATTTTTATTTTATAAAATACAGATATATATTTTACTGCAGCGCCCATATCCTTTGCTTGATTTTAAGCCGCTCCTGTTGTGTGCGAACGTGTCCTTGCATTGCTGATGGTCTGGCCAAAAAAAAGGGCAGGACTTTCGAAGCTCTGTAGCCCGAGGTGCATGCTTGTTTTTTTCGTCCTTTTTCTGAAATTCCCCCAACATCACCCCTTTCCCCTTTCCCCCCATCCACCAAGTGATTAATAAAGCACTGAGATTGCTCAGCTTGTAGTTATAGTTTATGATTCAAAAGGAACATTTAATTTATTTACTCTGTTTTTGGTTTGTTTTTCATTTTATTTGTGTCTTTGCCTCTTCACAAAAATTGAATTTCTGCTTTTTCAGTTGCCTGCTTCTGCTTCTTAGCTTTGTCTTAGTGCCACTGCCACGCCCACTTCCATCATTTTAATAGCATTTCGATAGGCAGAAGGGGGAGAGGTGGGAAGGTGGGGGTGTTTCTAAAGGTTTTTGTGAGGGTGTTAGTGAGCCTGTGTAGGGGTGTGTGTGTGTGGTGTCCTTAGCAGTTATTCCTTTTTTTTCGAATACGCATTAGTTTTGTATTTTTGTTTTTTTAGTTTTTTTTTTTTGGTTTTTGTTGGTTTTGCTGGTTTTTGTATACACATACAATCATACGCTAGAGTATATCTAAAAGTAAGATAGATACAGAGATACATCTATATAGAGTTTAAAGAATGAGACATATGTCGCAGTGAATGACAATTTGTTATGCTTTGTGGGCTTGGAGTGAGAGTGTGTGTGTGTTTGGGTGTTTTAGCCATTTTCCTTGAGGGCTTTACACTTTTGTTGGTTTGTTTTGTTTTGTTTTCATACCACTTTTCATTTCTCTCTCTCTTGGCTTGTTTTTAATAGCGTTTACAGTTTACAGTTTACAGTTAGTTTTCAATTTGACGACAAAATATACGTTATAGTCATAGACATACACTCACATACACATATAAATAAATATCCATATATCCTTCATACATGTATATGAACATGAAACACATTCAGTTATTTAGTAGAGGAGCTGCTGAATCAAAGGAGCAGCTCCTTTTCTCGTTAGCTTTATTATCCATTTTGAAATTTGTTTGCTTTCACAGGATAACAGTATGTAGGTGTGTGTCTGTGTGTGTGTTTGTGTGTTTTTGCTGCCTGGCAGCCATTTTATTGGGACATACACTAGTATATAGTAGTATTTATTAAATGCTGAAATCGGTGATAGTTGGCTTTAAGTTTTTATTTTCTTTTTAGTTAGCCATAGTAACGTTTTCATAGTCGAAGTGCAAAGCTTAAGGATACAAATCAAATGTATTAAAGATTGAGAGAGATAGAGAGCTTAAATAACTAGACGAATAAGCGGCTGGAACTATTATTTCTATTTCATTTTTTAGTTATTTCGGTGCTTGACTGTACTTATTGCTTGGTTTTTTGTTTTATTTCCTATTATTACACAGAACATTTAAACTACGTTTAGGTTTTGCCATTTTCTAGTAATTGTTGTGGGCTTTGGAATGGTTCTTTGGGCTGTATTTTGATTGGGAGCTGTACAACTTTCAGTTGCCAGCCTCAGCTTGGCTAACAAAATCGAAAATGCAAATGAATATACGTACCATACATATATGTATGAATGCCTCGGAGGGCATGAACAAAAACAGAACAATTCTTTGACTAATTCAACTAAAGAACACAAACAAATAACAAGAATATCTTGGGCTGGGGACTTGAGTTCAGATTTTAGGAGGCTTAAGTGACAGCTACATAGATAAGTGTCTATACACTGGGAGAAAAGCCACCTAGCCAGGTAGTAGCAATGCTGTTGCATATTTGATGAGAAATGGCTATAATTGAGCAACGGAATGATTTAGCAGGACTACACTGGGGACTCTAAGTGTTTGTGAATGTTTTGTAAGTGTTTCTAAAGAGTGTTTATCCATTTAACATTTGCTGCTTTATATTTTTTTGTTGTTTGTTTTCGTTTTCACCTGATTCAGATTCTGTTTTGAACTTCCTCCCTTATCTCAATACGCAATAGTTACAATAATAATAATAATAATCAAGGTAAATAAATATATCGCTTTCGTAACAATCGAGGACAACATTCGAGAACAAAAGATTCTGCATCCTGTTGTCGCCTTTTACCCCGCCTCTCCTCTACTACTTCTCTACTATTTCCAGGCAATTTCAATCCTGGGCTCCTTCGTCCTGCCTCGTTTGCTTACACAATACACACATTCAATAAAATATGCACATCAATAATTTTACATTCATTTATCATGTATGGTTGTGTTTGTGTCGTCCTAGGTGTGAGTATTGGTGTAAGTGTTTGTGTATCTGTGTGGCATATCCTTGACTGTGTCTGTTATTCAATTGCTAGCTACTTAAATGCTCAGTTTTATCGTAAATTGAACCCATCTGTGTCACATCATCGGGTTGAAAATTGATAACTACCAGCCGTAGTTATGGTTTGGGGTTTTGGAGTGGTTGCGGTGTGGTGGGGTGGACCTCAACCACTCAAGTCGAATTGTTGTGCATATCACTCATACGCATCAATCATACGCACTGTGACCTTTGCTTTCATTATTTATGTATTTACATCTCGTTTATTTTTAGTGGCAGTTTTTGTGCGTGTGTGTGTGCATTTTGTATCTGTGTGTTTTTCTTACGTATCTGAAGTTAGATGGCTTTCATTTCAATTAGCTTTTTGCGCTGAACTCTAACAGGTAAATTCACATTTAATCTCACATTTAAAATGCAAAAGTTTCAATTAATTTATCTTAGGCTTCTCCTCGCATATCCTCGCATCGTCAGTCCAGGCCCTCTCTCACTTAGATATACATCCCCAGATCCGCATGAAAGTCCTGCAGATACGAAAGCAATTGCGAGGGCGTCGGTCTTTGTTTGGCTTCACTGTGCCAGCAGCAATTCATAACGGTAAAGCTAATGGTTGGGTACACAAATATATAGAAAAGTTGTTGTTTGTTATCCTGGATGTTTTCAACTTACAATTCATCCGGACAATTGACTGGCTGCTCTAGCCGGAAGCCAGCAGCCAAGTAATTAGTAAGCTCGAATATGTCTACTTCCTCGTGGGGCATCTGCGCCAGAGTAACCAGCTCCCAATAGGTCACCCCCAGCGCCCACACATCCCCCTGGGTGGCGTAGACCCGCTTCTGCAGCGATTCCAGGGAGAGCCACTTCAGTGGCCGGTTCTCGTTGTCCCCCAAGCAGTCGTAATCGTCCGGGAATAGGTCCCGGGACAGGGCTCCATCGCAGATCTTCACATATGCCTCCTCGTCCAGGCTGTAAGTGTAAAAAAATTTGCGGTTTTTCAACATTTATAATTATTTCATATTTAACTTGTCCAGGGTCTACCCGATTCCTTGCGGTACACCCGAAAAGTCCCAAACCAAGTCCATATTTTGGCCAATTTCTATCCGATCTTTGAGTGGAGTACCTCAAACGATTTGTAGTTCGATTCTCCAGCAATCTGCATCAAAACCTCAAAACAAAATTTTCGATCCAGATTTTTCAAATTTTTATGAGGGATCCCTAGGGAAATGCAGGATTTTCATTTTTGGCCCAAACCAAGTCCATATCTTGGCCAATTTCTATCCGATCCTTGAGCGGAGTACCTTTATCGATTTGTAGCTCGACTCTCCACCAATCTGCATCAAAACCTCGAAACAAAATTTTCGATCCAGATTTTTCACATTTTTATGAGGGGACCCCTAGTGAAATCCATTTTCACTAGGATTTCCATTTCTCCCATTTTTGGCCCAAACCAAGTTCATATCTTGGCCAATTTCTATCCGATCCTTGAGCGGAGTACCTCAAACGATTTGTAGTTCGATTCTCCACCAATCTGCATCAAAACCTCAAAACAAAATTTTCGATCCAGATTTTTCAAATTTTCATGAGGGACCCCTCGGGAAATGCAGGATTTTCATTTTTGGCCCAAACCAAGTCCATATCTTGGCCAATTTCTATCCGATCCTTGAGCGGAGAACCTTTATCGATTTGTAGTTCGATTCTCCACCAATCTGCATCAAAACCTCAAAACAAAATTTTCGATCCAGATTTTTCAAATTTTCATGAGGGACCCCTCGGGAAATGCAGGATTTCAATTTTTGGGCCAAACCATGTGCATATCTTGGCCAATTTCTATCCGATCCTTGAGCGGAGTACCTCAAACGATTTGTAGTTCGATTCTCCACCAATCTGCATTAAAACCTCAAAACAAAATTTTCGATCCAGATTTTTCAAATTTTCATGAGGGACCCCTCGGGAAATGCAGGATTTTCATTTTTGGCCCAAACCAAGTCCATATCTTGGCCAATTTCTATCCGATCCTTGAGCGGAGAACCTTTATCGATTTGTAGTTCGATTCTCCACCAATCTGCATCAAAACCTCAAAACAAAATTTTCGATCCAGATTTTTCAAATTTTCATGAGGGACCCCTCGGGAAATGCAGGATTTCAATTTTTGGGCCAAACCATGTGCATATCTTGGCCAATTTCTATCCGATCCTTGAGCGGAGTACCTCAAACGATTTGTAGTTCGATTCTCCACCAATCTGCATTAAAACCTCAAAACAAAATTTTCGATCCAGATTTTTCAAATTTTCATGAGGGACCCCTCGGGAAATGCAGGATTTTCATTTTTGGCCCAAACCAAGTCCATATCTTGGCCAATTTCTATCCGATCCTTGAGCGGAGTACCTTTATCGATTTGTAGTTCGATTCTCCACCAATCTGCATCAAAACCTCAAAACAAAATTTTCGATCCAGATTTTTCAAGGAAAGGATTTTTTTAGGGAAATCCAGGGTTTATATTTTTGCCCCAAACCAAACCATTAAATTTTTCTACGGCCCCTTACGTTATTTATATCTTTTTCTTGTTAAAGACTGAAAGTTCTTCAGTCTGCATTCCACAGATAGATAAACATAGAAATAAATACTCACTAGCAATTGCGTGTGGCAATGTCCTTGTGAACGATTCCCAGGGAGTGCAGATAGGCCAATCCCTTGGTGATGTGGAGGCCAAACTCAACCAACTGCCTGGTGCTCAGGGCGGTGCTAGATTCCCGCGATTTTTGGAGATAACTAGAACATAAATGAACAAAATTTGAAATTTAAAACATTATCTTTATATTAAACATCCCTATTCTGACTGTAAATATAAAGTCTTTAAGATTCTACTCACATTTTTAAATTTCCCTTGGACGGATAGGGGTAAGCAATTTCCGGCGGTCCTGGCAGTTCTGTGTTGGCCAAAAGTGGCGCCAGGATATGCTGGTGGCTAACCCCAATCAGGAGCGAGGCATCCTGCAGCAGGCAAGCCACTTGGGTGAGCGATGCCCCATCGACCACTGTCTTAACCAGGGCATCACAGGACTCGCCCAGCTTGCCGGCATAGATGCGGCCGAAGGTCCCCTCCTTGACCAGTTCCTCGTAGCTGAGAGCTCCTGGCTGGACACTGGTGATTCGTCGGAGGCGCTCCTTGGTCTTCTCCCCGTGGCTGCCGACGGTGATGGTGCTGCCAGTGATGCCGCCAAATAGGCTTAAAGAGCCACTGCCAATAGTGGCATTGCCGTTGCCACGACTGCTTTTGGGAGTCGAAAGGCTGCAGGCCTAAAAGGGATAATAAAAGGATAGATGTATTTATTTGTAGTTTTTGAAATTCAAAGCCATTTTAATAGTCATTTTGTAGCTAAAATTTGTTAAATAAAGCGTATTATTTTAATGAGCTTTCACGGATATCTATTTATCATAAATCATGGAAATGTTTTTGTTTCGAAACTATGAAAGCCAAATTAGAAATGCATTAAACATAAACAAGGCAGGAAGTGGGTTAATTGAAAATTAATACGTAAAATCAAACACATAATTGATGTTCATTTTGGGTTCAGAATCAGATGAATATCGGGCAATATAGCAATCAAGATTAACACCCTTCAGTGCCTTCCGAAATGGGGGTTTTTCCGCTTAAATAACCAGCTCCCTGCCAGGACACTTGAAACTGTATAAATTTCCATATTTCCGTGCCCCATCTAATTTGGGCCAACTACGATGTTCGAGGCCCCAAAAGGCCAAAATGGCAAAATGGTAAAATGGCAACGATGGTTGAGGCAACTGAAACAGCAATTTCAGTTGCCGGATTTGCATCTTTCAACTTGCATCCGTTTACCGTTAGTCATGCACTCGGTTGCTCTTGCTACTTTCTCCCATCCCCTCGGTTATCCCCCCCGTCCCTTTTATACTTTCTCCGTTCATTCATTTTAATGAATTGAGTTCCGTTTCCGCTCGAAGGCACTTGATGTTGCCTCACTGTTGCCTCCAAAGACTTGAGTTATAATTTTATCCCCGCCAGTTCCCCCGCAGTTGTCTTCCAGTATGAATAATTTATTGGCTGGCAAAAAAGCTTTAATTCGCCGAGCATTATGTTTGCCCAAGGGGGGCGGTGGAGACTACTAAAGATGGGGGGGGGTAGAAATCGGTCTCAGCTGTAGGAAATTGCGAACTCGTCTTGTGTAAACAGAGTCTGCAATGGCAGCAGATAGCCAGCAAGTCCTGGCGGAAAATCCCTGCCCCAGACTCCCTCTAGAATTCATACGCCTACGCAGCACATTTATTCTCATAAAACATGAAACAGTTGCCAAAAAAAAAAAAATAAAGCCTCCCAAAGAATATATATATATAAGAATATTCAGTCTAATAAACACAAGAAAAAAGTCTTTATTTCACCCAAAAAGAAAATCTGCATAACTGCGACCTGTGACCATGGCGTTCAAGTGGTTTTGGCCCTGGATTTCGTCCCTGGACACTAAATCTCCATCAGCAGCAGGTGGATGGCGGTTCTTTTTATTAAAAGCCACCGTTGGCAATATGCGGGGAATTATATTATTTGGCTTGGGTCTACAGAGATCCCAGGGAATCCGTGGCACAATTGCAGCAGCAACATATTCGCAACAACCAGGAGGAGCAACACTGCCAGCGACACTGCCAGCGACAACGACAACGACAAAAGGCAATAAAAACAATAGTTGTCTGCCTTTTGTTAGTGAATTTCATTTCATTATTGCCTTCATTGCCACTTCTGTGAAGGGGAGAAGTCCTCCTGCTCCTGCTCCTTCGGCATCCCGTTTGTGATTCCTGCTGTTTGTCCTTTATTGTATTTGTCGTGCTGCCACTGTTGTTGCTTTTGCTCGGGATGTTGCTGTTGCTGCTCCACAAAAGAAAATTCAATTAAAACGCAACAATATCGCACTCCATCATCAAAGCTGTCCTGCGAAAACCCTCAAGCAAAGGGGGACAAGTCCTGCGGTTGTCCAGGGATTGCGATTGGTGGGGCGTACTATCCCTGACTGAGCCATAAATCCCCATTGCCTTTGTCCCTTCCTCTCGCTGTGTGCTACAAAAAGGTCCTAGGTCCTTCTGGCTGGTTACATGGCGGATCCTCTTTGTTTACGGAATTTAAATCGCGTACAAAAAAAAAGCAAATTCCTGGCTGTGTTAATGAGCAACGCTCTTAAGTGTAATTAGAATTCATTTAATCGGTTTAACAATAATCGCTAAAGGATATGCTTGGCTTGGTTTTTATGACTTTTTTATATAAATTTATTCTGTTAGATATTTCTATGACAACTTAACGAATCAAGCAATGAAATAATCACATAAACTCCCGAAACACTTCAGAGTTCAGTCGAAAACAAAAATCGCAAAATAACTCAATTGAGTTTTAAATAAAGTCTCAGGCCACTTGAAATTATTTCTGCTCTCTTAGGTCTCAAGTCGTATAAATTCCAATCAATTGCTGAATTAAATGAAATTCTTGATTCTCATTCTTGGGTCTGTGTGCTCGAGCTGGCCAATAACCGAAAAATGATTGTAAAATTAAAACGATATTGAGGCAATATTTGTTCGCCATCAAAGGATATGCTTTCAACTGATTTTTATGAGACTGATACTTTCATTCCGGAGATGGCAAATGAAAATGTTCATTTCAACTGAATTTTTTGGGTCAGAAGGCAGATCCATCCATATTAAATGCGAATGTCAAACGGGCAGACATTATTGCTTGGCTTTTCATTTCCACCAGGACATTCGAAATGTGCCTCCTATCCCTGCCCCCATTGGCAAAAAATTGCTACCAATTGCTGCTGGTTATTTTGGCCCACTCGAATCGCAGATCAAATGGTACATTTTGGGGGCCATTGCCATGATACCGAAAAGGTGGCCAGGATGAGAACTTCGATGCTTTTCGGGCTTTGAATTTCCAACAGCATTTCCAAACCAGAGCAGTCTGGGTGTCAAGGATACAGGACAAGCGTGTGTAGTCAGCTGCTGCAGCTGTTTCTGCTTTGTTGTGACATTTCTAATGACAACAGAGAGGAGGAGGGGGCATGTGGGAGGGTTGTCCTGCAAATGACGTAAGCACAAACACTAAAACACAATACACACACACACACGAGCAATACACACGAGCAGCCGACACCATGCACCCTCACAAACTTGACAGGCGTCTGATTTGCTTATGTCACTTGCAGCTCTATGGCTGCCCGCAGGAACAACAGCCACAAGCCCCCGATCCCGCCCATTGCCCACTGCCACCCGCCCTTGCCACGCCCCTCTTTGGGGGCGCATCGCCTGGCTTGTAATTAAAAACGCTTGATGACAATTTTGCCAGGACGACGCCCGTCAGCACGTCACTTGCTGGAAAACCAAAGTGCAGTCAAACTTTTCCCTCGAAAGAGCAACAGCAACATCACAGCAGCATCTACAGTATGAAAATTTCCCACAGTTTTCCGAACACACCAACATACACACTTATACAGAGGCACAGTGGGCCGGGGGGGTTGGAAAATATTTTAATGAAGTCCCAACCACTGCAACTTTTTCGGGGGCTAACCTCTAACAAAATTTTTGCGGAAGAGGTTAGTTGGGAAAACAGTTAAGAAAAATAAAAGTTGTGGTCTTGGTTTTGTTTTAAATATGTTTTAAGTTGATTAAAAACAAGAAAGGAAAGCTAACTTCGGGCGGAGCCGAAGTTTATATACCCTTGCAGTTAAAACCGGATATATATCGCAAACATCGGATATAGTTGGCCGATCCTTATGGGAATAGGAATATATACTCAAATTTATTACAATACAAAATCTAAAAAAAGTCCCAAGCTTCTATCTTCAAAAATACGAAAGTTGATATTTCTACCAAATACCATTTCCGATCGTTCAGTTATATGGCAGCTATAGGATATAGTCGGCCGATCCTAATGAAATTTGGTAGGTTGGATCAACTGACCAAAAATAGAGTCTGTACTAAATTCCAGCTTTCTATCTTCAAAAAACGAAAGTTGGGTCATTTCCGATCGTTCAGTTATATGACAGCTATAGGATATAGTCGGCCGATCCTTATGAAATTTGGCATGTCGTATTATTTTGCCAAAAATAGCTCTCACCTAAAATTTGAACTCTCTAACTCTAAAAATACCAAAGTTATACCATTTCCGATCAATCAGTTATATGGCAGCTATAGGATATAGTCGGCCGATCCGGGCCGTTCCGACTTATATACTGCGTGCAAAGGAAAGAAGGGTGTGTGCAAAGTTTCAAGACGATAGCTTTAAAACTGAGAGACTAGTTTGCGTAGAAACAGACAGACGGACAGACAGACAGACGGACAGACGGACAGACGGACAGACGGACAGACGGACAGACGGACATGCTCATATCAACTCAGGAGGTGATCCTGATCAAGAATATATATACTTTATAGGGTCGGAGATGTCTCCTTCACTGCGTTGCACACTTTTGGACAAAATTATAATACCCTCTGCAAGGGTATAAAAATCACAAACTGGTTAAAGAGTAAATAAATATGTTGGTTTTAAAGAATAAATTATAAAAAGTGTTAGAAGAACAAAAAATATTGGGGGGTTTGTGGGGGAAATGGAATTCTTTTTAAGAAATTATTCAAATAAAAATCTAACATTGTTTGTAGTTTGAAATATAATTATAGGGATTTAATTTTTAAATTATAAAAAAACTATATTTTTAATTTATTTATTTACGGTTTAACTTTTGTTTTTTATAAAACTTGCTCCACTGTACCTTAAAAATTGTTGACATAAAATGAAACTATGCAAATTGCTGATGCTGTTGCAAATATGGAATACATAGTTTACCACCCTGTCACTGCCACACCCCCTCCTCACCTTCCTCCATGGGCTAGACAATGTGAAAACTGTTTCAACATATCACGCATACGACCCGTCGCCTTGTGCTAATAAGCCTTGGCAGTGAACCGAACCGAGCCAGACTTTCAGTCTGAAATTTTCGCAGAATCGCAGCTACCAGGGTCTCAATTATATTTCAATTTACCTGCCAACGAGTTTTCTGCCTTTAATCAAGCCGGAAAGCCCTACCCACTGTCAAGTTTCTCTTTTTGCCTTGGCCTTTATTTCAAACTTTTCTTTGTTTTTTTTTTTTTGGCCAGCACTAACTGAAGTCTCATTATTTTGGCATTTCCGAGGCGAGGACGACCAGGACTGCCAGGACAAACTGTTCCAGTTCCAGTGCCTGTGTGGCTCCTGCCTTCTAATTTGCTTTCGGGGGCAACTAATTTGAATTTCGTTTGATTTATGCCTGATCGATTCTGGCCTGCCTTAGTCTGCCTTTGATGCATGGCATTTTGATGAGAGTATTGGCCTCGTTGGCCCTTTTTGGCTTTCTGATAAGCGTTGTGTTTCGCCGCTAATGCATAATTGAAAAGCGGAAAACGGAACTCGGGACGACTTTGGGGCATAAACTCGATGGCTGGTCCTAATTAAAGGTGGCGTATACTTAACCAAAGTCGCCGCTTACACGCACTTAATCGCGCATAATTGCCTTTCAATTAGCCATTGCGTGTTCCAGCCACGCCCACTGCCTACTGGCTCCTGCCCCCCACCTCCCCTGAGCTTTAATAAATTAACATACACACACACACTCACAGAGAGTGTCCTTTTGATTGGAATTTATATACGGTCGAGAAATCTTAGTAAATTGTCAATTAAAATGCATGGGTTGATATACCAAGCACTTTAATGGATAAATCTTGTTCTCTAACTCGTCGCAGTACCAGTGAAAAGTGTAAAAAAATGAACAAAAGGAAAAATCGGAACAAAGCAAACATCCGGCACTTCCGTTTTTGTCTCTCCTGCGGCTGACAGGAAGCAATCAATATAGTGTAATGCCAGACAAAAGCATCCTTCTCAGTTTGTCCAATAGAAAGGACGCCAGACTTCCATCCGCCTTCGGTGCTTCGGTGGAGGAGAAGTTGGAAAAAAATAGATCGACTGTCGCGGTCTGGTAATTTGTCAACCTTTGGCGACAAACCTTTGGCTTTAACCCTTGAAATCACCACCTGGCTGGTCACATACCTTGCAACACCCATTAAGTGTCTTTGGGGCACAACATCCCCCTTTTTTCCGGCATCCTGTGTGGCAAATGTAAATAATGCCTTTTAATCAAAAGGAACAAGAGCGGGAAAATCCATTAATGCGGTACGTGCTAGTCCCCAAAACTTAAAGTTTGGGGTAGTGGATGTGCGAGGGACCCCCCTTTGTAGACCCCGTTTACAAGTTGATTTACAAATTTCTTTAATGGGGCGACAACAGCCATTTTAATTAGCACCTGTTCGTGCTTTGTCTGCCATTTGTCGATCCGGTAATCGCCATAAAACACGGCGACGCGGAAATTAATTTCCCCACCCTACTCTTTAAGGAGTTTTCACGTAAATTATGCCATTTGAAGGCAGGACACGTTGCCCGCAGGCTCCTTTGCTTAACCCATTACTTTTTCTAGGCTCTTTTCGCTCTGATTCCTCGCCCAGATCCAATATACTAATGCTCCTGTCTTTCGCTTTGCAGCACATGGCGCATCCGCCCCGTGGCGCCACCCCATCCATCCGACTCTGCCCCCGTCCATTCAAGGCTGCAATAATATTTTGCAAATGTTTCTAAACAAGCACAAAGTCATGTTTCAACAGCTGTAGTCTGGTTTCAGTTCGCTGCTGTTTTTATTGTTATGTTCCACTATCTCCCCCCTCGCAGGATCTGCCCCTCGTATCCTTCTTTTTTAGCCCTCTTTTCATCCCCATTGTTACTGGCTGTTTGCTAAACTTTCGCTGCACATTAAAGCCATTTGGTCGGCGTTTATAGACTGATTTAATAGAATAACAAGGAGAGGGTGCCACACCCAAATGAGATATTTCCACACAAGTGCACAGGACCTGCGAGAGTGTGAGTGTGTCTGTGTCTGTGAGAGTATCTGTGTGCACTTGGATATAATTGTTTGACTAAATGAGTGCGTTCGCCTCAGACCAGACTCCCCTGTCTCTGGCTCTCTTGTTTGTGCCCCAAAATTGCGCTACAGTTCGCTTAACGCTCACACATATGGCCAGAATAGATGGGGGCGGGGGCAGGGAAGCTTATGCCATGGGGGCCATTTAATTGGTACAACAGAAACGGAACAACAATAATTATGGCAAGCACCCTCAGACCCCAACCGCATCTTCAGCTCCACTCCAATTTCGGGTTGCAGAGAATCAGAGCGACAGAGACAGAAACAAAGAGAGACAGAGAAGGAAAGAGCGAATTCATTTAATTCCCTGTCGCCTGCTTCGATGCGTTCGTCCTTCGTCCTGCCACCAGATAGAGCCAAATGGATATGACTCTTGGCACTGTGAGCCTCCAGATAACCATGTAAGGACTGGATGAGTACTAGCCCCCCTCCCTATTGAGGGCTGTTCCCATAATGAGGATGAAATTGAAGTCTAAACAAACAGAAATCGTTGGGCAAACAGCGCCAGGATACGGAGATCAGGATGCTTTAAGCTGAGCACATAAAATCCCCTCCAGTCTCCATGGAAATTGAATATTTAATTATGCGCCGATGGAAATTGCGTTAGAACTTGGTGACGAAAATGGCAAAGTCATCATGGCGATGGGGCGACTGGATGGGGCAGAAGGCCTAGAAAAAATCCCGAGTTGGGTCTCAGGAATGTTTACAAGGACAACAATTGAAGAGACTGCTAAATAATTTATTCCAATTTGGCAGAGATTCTCGCAACACCAAGAAGTTAACTTGTCTCGAAAGAAATGCTAATGCTCTCCCTGGAGGGAGCGAGTATTCCATGAAGTCGACCCCAAATATGAGGTTCTAAGTATCCTGATGATGGCTCGAATAATTTTCAGTTCACTTCGATGGCTACCTCAGGGACTTGGATTGGTTTTAAGGCAGAGTGGCTGTGGTTTGTGGTTAGTTTGGATTAAGTTTGTTAATTTTCGCCCAAGGGGGGTTCGCTGGATTGGAAACAAAAACAAAGATAACCAAGTCGGGCAGACTGTCTGTGTCTGCCTCAGCGGAGCACCTTTCGCTTATCTCACAGGTAGCCCTCCTCCTCCTTCAGTCCTCCACTCACCTGCCGCAACCCAAGGACTAGCAGCACTCGACTCTCCAGGCAGTGGGTTTGTGTGTCGCCTTCACCTTCACCCACACTCTGGACTCTTCACACTCCACTTGCAGCGTGCCACCTGCCACATGGAGTACGTGAGCGACACACGAAAGTTACCTTCCCCGTTCGGTAGCCCACCCAGGCATCCAGACATCCTTGAATCCTGAGGGAAGGGGAGGAAAGCCGCATATTTATGAATGGCTCTTGTTTCGAGTTTAACGCACTACGGGAGCTTTATCAGCTCGTAAATATAAATTAGAATTTAATTTTTATCGTCGAGGAAAGGCGGCCGCCAGCCGGCAGCTGGAGGGGAGGTCCTTCGCCTGGGGAGCAATGGAGGACAAATTAGAGGTAGTCCTGGCAACCCGGTAAGCAGAGTCCGCTTCAAGGGGACTCCCATTACCAATCCCATCTCCATTTCCATTTGCGCCTGCCACGTGTCCCAATATATCAAAGGCTTTGATTCAAATGTGGATCCCAATCTCATCCCCTCTGCAATCTGGAACGGCCCCCTGAGACTGGGGATAGTGGGTATTGGACGGGATAGTTACCTGGGTCAGTTGCGAGGAGGCGTAGTAGGAAATCCTCGAGGGACAGATCGACTCTGGTTTCGAGTAAATCGTCTCGACGGCCTGGTCGTGGTTCATGGGCAGCAGGGCGGTGGCATAGGGTGTGGGCGTGGGTGAGCTCCTGAAACCTGTGAGGGCGGGGTTAGAGGTCGTCCAGGCGGGGTGCCACGAAATTAACTTACGGTCGAATATGCTGCACGACTTCTTGCTCTCCGCCGGGTATTTGTTGAGGCTGGCGATGGTGGCGTAGGATCCAGTGGCACTCGGTGGCCTTCCGAGCGGGTCCAGGCGGATGAACACGTTCTGGTGGCTGCCGTAGGCCGCGGTGGTGAAGCTGGTGCTGGAAGGGGGAAAGCAAACCAAACCAAGGTGTCAATGGCTTAATGGAGGGGGAGGAGTACGCTGGATAACCTACTGGAGAGAGTCCTGGCGGAGCTGCTTACGCGCCTTCACATACATCATGCTGGCCACCAGTCCGACGGCCAAAACCAGTCCCAGGGCACAGGCGGCGGCACTCAGGAGGGCGGGGCCCTGGGAGGGGGCGTGAGCTGGGGCGGGCGACTGATTGGGTTCAGGTGAGATGCCTGCGGAATGGAAAATGGTCAGATGAGTGATGGATTGCTGGCCAGGATGAGGGATTGGGACCCACCTTTCGCACAGATCTTGTTGCGCTTGAAGTGAAGCCGGGTGTCGTTGAAGCGGGGAGGTCCTCGCACTACCATGTTGACGTTGACGGGCAGCTGGAGGGTGGCGTTGCCCGTGCATGGCAGGTACACCAGGAAGGACTCGATCTCCTGCGGCACCAGGCCCTTGTGCGGGATGCTCAGCGTGGGCGTGCCCAGGGCCTCCTGCTCGGTGTTGTACTCGATGCTGATGGAGTATGGCAGCTGCAAGGATACCAAATGGTTAATATGAGTACCTGAGCCCTGGGAGGTCCACTGCATCTTCCTTACCGGGTAGGCGATGAGACTCTGCCAGGAGAACTCCAGCTCGTGGATGTCCGCGGGCACTGGGACGGTGAAGTGCATCGCGTATGTGTTGATGGCTCCCTCGTGCACATAGAACAGGTCCGCCTCGAGTCCTGCAGGGATAAGCGAGAAGGATATTAGAGTGGAGTGAATGCGGATGCACTGCAGACGTAAAGCGAAAGTTTTCCGCAATTGCAGGGCACTCCCCCCCTGCTGAGCAAACTTTGTGCATTTGCTGTTTGCGCTCCCCTCGAGCGTCCGCCCTTATCCTTTTTCCACCATTAAGCGGAAATTGATTTTCTCACTAGCGAAGGAGGGGGTGGTGGGTGAGGTGACAATGCTGGCGGGTAAACAAAACCCAAGACACAATAATAATCGAAATCGAATCCGTCACCGGCAGGCGACGGTGCAGGGTGTGGCTCGGAGTGGCCCGAAAAGAAATGGAAAGGAGAAATGAGGAGCGACAGGAGTCCTGGGAGAGGACGCATTAAAAGGTGTCAGCTGCGATGCCTCGTCATCGAAGGGAATCCGATTCCGCAGCTCCTCGGAGTTAAAAAGTCCTGATCTCTTTCAGGTGCCCCACCCACTGGCATTGAAAGACGAGCTGCTTGAGTTAAAACGACGTGAAATTAAATTTCTTCATCCGCCTTTATTGTTGCTCTTCCTATTTCTATTCAGGACTCAGGTCTCAGGATTCTATCCCCCTCGTCAGTGGGGTGCATTATTTACTCCCCGGGATCAGGCCAAGCTCGCTTTTCTCAAGAAGGGAGTGGGTATTGGAGTGGAATGCTTACTTCCTTCAAATTTAAGACTCCGCCGGATGTTGAATGTAGCAATTCCGCTTCCGGCGGACTCAAAGGGGGGTGGCTGGAGACAGGGAGCGGGTGGAGTGTGCCTGCATTTAGGATAGAACAAAGCTCTAGCTCGCTGCTTAAAACAATTTTAAATCCAATTACAGAACAAGAAACAGCATTTTTCGTTAGCTTTCATCCTGGCTAGAGGTTGGGGCTTCATTTCCATCTCGAGATGCTACGGTTTTCCATTTTCCAAACTCCCGTTTTCCTGCTTCCATTTCGGTTTCGTTTTCGAGTCCCAAATTGCTTTGCGCCCCGCCGAGTTCCCAACCTGGCTCCCAGAGTGGGCCAAGTGCACCACTTTCCCCTGCCTCTGCCTTGAATCCGGCTGAGTTTTTTTAGGAAGCGGCAAAACACAAACATAACCCCAGAGTGCCGCCCATCAGATATGCACAAACACAGAAAAAGGACATCGTTTGAACCCTTCTCTGACATGTCCTGAGACAAGGGATAGAGAGGGGATTCTTAAATAAGTGACTGCACTTGTGACAGCCTGAATTAATTCAGTCCTGATTTGGGGGACATGTCCTATCGCCCTATTCCCCGAGTCCTTGTAACGGCTGCCACATGAATTGGCCTCTTTGGGGCGCATTCCCAAACTGCACTTTGAACATCACCAATTGGCATTGCCACCTTCCACTCAGGCTCATCCTTTTCCAGATAGCTTCAAGAATCCTCCTCCCGTATCCTTCCCTTTCTGGGAGTGTCAAACTTTACTCGTCTTTCATATCACGGTGGCGCGAAACTTTGCCTGGGAAACTTTTGTCGCGCTTATGCCTGCCTCACCCCCTTTATCTGTTCCGGGGAGTCCTTCCACCTCGGCAGGATGTGCCTCACTCCGCCATAATACCACTCCTTTTTGCCCACTCCGCTCTCTCCAGCCTTAATTATAATACCCGCGATTGCGATTGTCTGAATGACTCCAGAACACACGTGACGCTGCAACCGCAGCCCAGATTTATGGAGCGGGGTGAAAGGGTGAAATCAGGGTGAGAGTTCAGGGAGAAGGGGTTGGGGCAGGGGAAAGGGGAAGACTGGCAGGAATTGGCTGACTCCGGAGAATCTCGGAGTCATCTCTGGCAATGCCAACAAAGAGGAGACACCATTTGCATAAAAGATTAAGAGGATAATTAGTGTCATTAGTTGGGAGACTGCATCCCGCCCTTCCCCTAATTACCTCTCCCCTTTGGCAGGATCTCCGGGGAGTGCAATCTCACCTCACGATGATTAAAGGGGATTCCCCGTCAGTTCCTGCTAATTGTCCTATGAATCAAGGATGAGAATTGCTCGATTGGCACAGTTTCTGATTTCCTCTCCCCTCCCCTGACATCCTGATCCCTGGGCCGCAAGGATACCGATTCCTTATGCCGAAACACCCTTCGAAAGGAAAACATATCGAGCGAATGAGGGAGGTGGGGAGTATATTAATGTGGGGATTTTCGGGCTGTTTTCTATTCATTAAAAATAATTTTCTTTTGCATTAACTTTTCATTTGCAGGGAAATTTCTCAGCTCGCCCGCCGGAGGTGGAGGTCCACCCTGGAGGGTGGAAAGGGGGATGCTGGTCCGAGGGGGGCAGCGGCGAGGGATCGGGTGGCTGAGAAAAAGTGTGCACATCAAAGCGAAAGCAAAAAGTTGTTGAAATTGCATTTTTACGCACCCTTGAACAGGAAAGTCTTCAGCAGGAAAGGGGCGGGGTAAGTGGGAGTGAGGGGGTGGTGGAGCGGACCAGGGGAAGGGGCGGTGGGTGTCGGTGTCGGTGGCAACAAGGGAAAATTGCCCGTTGCTAGGACGACACACCGAAATTGAACTCAGAGGCGGAAAATCTTCAACAAAAGCGTAGAAAATATTTAATTTTAATGTTGTCGCCACTTCATGGAAGGATCAGGGGGGAGGGGGTGAAAGGAAAGGCAAAGTTCATGGATTCTGCAACTGGGAAATAAAAGAATAAACAACTAGAAAGCCCGGAACTTTGTTTACAGATCCTCAGAAGGACGAGGAAGCCAAATAAAGTGCAACCAATTGTTGGCAGAATTCCCATTTCCATGTGGGGATGTAACAAAGAGTCCCTGAAACTGGGACTGATTCGTGCCACTGTGGGGAGCCTTCCACATGAACAGATTCCCTTGGAAATGGCAAACAAATGGGGGCCAGGGCGATGAAAATCATGCACTGGAATTTGAATCGAGGGTGGAGGGTCAGTTTGTTTGATTTCGTGCTGCTTGTTAATTTTCAAATCGAAGCAACTTCAAGGGTGGCAGCCACCACTAACTGGGAGTGCTTCCAGGGGGAGGGCAGGTCACCCAAGGGTGCTAACTGGTCGTTAAAAACATAACGAGCTTCGAGGGGGAGGAGGAGGAATTCCGAGGCAGCCTGAAAGAAATCACAGCCAGTCGAGCAAAGGAAGCTGTGAGGAGCAGCTACAAAGCAGACTATGCTTTTGAAATGTCGCTAATGAAATCCGATTTGCATTGGCCCGAGGAGGTTCCAGTGGGGATGCGAGGGTGGGTGGTTGTCCAGGAGATGGCCCTCTCTGGCCATTGATCCCTAATGCAATTGGAAATGCATCAAAGCAGCCAGAGATGGAGGAGAATCCCCCGATTAAGTGCCGCCCATTCATCCATCACTCTCGCATCCCATTGAGGGGATTATTTTTACGCCATCAACTAATTGAAGTGTCCTGATTCGGCAACCAGGAAGCGGGGTGGGCCTGCATAATGAGGAGGAGGCATTTATGCTCCAATTATTGCCAAGTGCCGGAAAAAGCTGTGACCAGCTAAGCAACGGCCGCGAACTAGGCCAGCTCCTGCCCTCTTTCAAGCTCCTTCCTCTCCATATTTTGGAGTTTTCGAGTTCCCCACTCGGAGGCATATTCCCCGATCCATTAATCAAGACGGGGAGCAGGAAAATCGCGAGCCAAACTGCAGGCACGAGGCCATTCCGCCTTGGCATGTCCATGAAATCCATGTAACTCCCATCAGCAGGACTCTGGGAGGGGGACCTGGCCTTGGCTCGATCTGGAGCCGGCGCCATCAATAACAAGAATTCGCGTGGAGCAACAAACGGAAAAACAAGAAAACAAACAAGGCGGCAGGAAGAGGAAGGGGGTTGTTAAAGGAAGTCGGAGTTGGAAGGACGAAGCAGGAGGGACGCAGGACGAAGACGGAGGAGGTGAAAGCTACTTGCAGCTGTCAGCAAGGTGAGGGCGTCTATTTCAGGCCCAGAACGGAAATCGATTTGTGTGCGATTTGTTTTGGTTTCGCTCAGCTAACTATTCTTATTCATTCCCCCCGCCCTTAGATCCTTGCTGCCTCGTCCTGTTCTCCCTCCGACTCCTCTATTAATGGTCAACTATAATTTTGTGGCCATTAATGACTGTGACATGGTCTGCGACTTCGGGGATTGTTTGTGTTTTCGTGTTCAGGGATCAATGAATTCGTCCTGTCGCACTTCGGCCTCCAACTATTAATCATGCGAGTAGATCCTGGCTCCGGGAGGGGGTGTGTCAGCCCCGAATCGAAGTTTCATTAGTGGATTAGGAAATGAGACTGGAACTCACCCATCAGTTTCATCACCTCGTGGTGGCTGATGAAAATGTTCAGATAGCCGCTGACGGAGGGCGTCCGCCAAGTGGAAATGGCCAGGAACAGGAGCCACAGGGGCAGTGGCGGTGGTGCTGGGGGTGCAGAGTGACCCATGGCGGATGAAGGGTTGAGGATGGCCTAGTGGGTGCTGTGCGGGGTTAATAAATTGTCAGAGCATGTGTCGCCGCAAGTGGCGAACATTTCCACAGCTCCACTTCGTCCTGCTGCCAGTTATCCTGCGCCACTGCCAATCTCAATGTGTGGCCATTGATGCGTCGCCTTCAAGTTGGCTCTTCCTGGGCTGCCTCCCCTCTTGCAGATTTGAATTCTGGTGACGGTTGTTTCTGCCACAAACAGAAGCACAGATCCCCAAACACAGAGAAGCGTTAAAATCAAATTCCAACTGGTAACTGCTAACTGTTCCGGCTTCAAAGGGCGGAGGTCTGTCTGCTGATTTTGGGAACTTTTCAGCCTCGGCTTCCGCCGGCTGTCCTGGTCGTCCCGACTCTCCTTTTTCCGCTTGCCACTCTGTGGCAGCCCAACTTTTGCAGTTTTGTTTTGCTGCGGTTGCCGCTGGAGTTGCTACATGTCCGAATTTGGCCCAGACTGAGCTAAGTTGGCTTTTATTGGCTGAGCTCCTGTCAACCGGCCTGCTCTCCTCTCCTCCCAATGTCCTTCCGTGTCCTGTACCTTGTTGTGTGGCTCTCGCCTGTCACTTTGTGCAGGTCTCTCCTGCTGGCCACTCTTCCGTCTGGCTTCCTCCGTTAAAGTGCAGATCCTGTTGGGTAGAAAGTGGTCCAGTTTAGTGAAAATTGGTAAAAAGATGCGTTAGGATTAGGGGGTGCTCGTGTGGTTCAGTGGTGCACACAATTTGGAAAAGCTAAATAAAAAGTTTCCACCATGCAAAAGTAATTAGAAAGTTGCAAAAAGATTAACAGCCTAGCAGGATTGAAAGCGTGCCCGACCTCCTTTCTGGAGGTGATGTTGTCAGCTTTCACTTGGGGTGGTGGAGAAAGGTAAGGTGGAGTGGGTGGTGGTGGTGCCTTAATAAATTTGAGGTAATATTTATGTGTTTGTTTGGCATAAATTATGAACTGGAAAAGGGAACAACTTCGGGCTTTCGAAATGTTTGTGGTTCAAGTGGTTCACCTCCACATGTATTGTTTGGGTTGTATGTTTATTCAGCTGCTGCTCCACCCTTCATCCTTGTTATCCTCCTGTTATCCTTGCTGGTTGCGTGTGCAGGCTACCCGAAAGAATTCCAACTGCAATGGGGCGTGGGGTGGCAGGACTACTAGTGGCTGATCGTAGGCATGGCAATGGAGAACCGGGACAGTCGAGTGCCCCCGAAATGAAATTGTTGCCAAAAAGCTGCCAGAACTAGCAACTCGTTTCCCACTTTGGTCTCTTAACTTCTCGCTCCTCCGTTTTCAGTTTGCAATAAAAATCAAAATCAGAAAAGTTTGTTGCCTCCAATTTTTAGTTTCTCCCTTCTGGCCTTGAGGAATTTTAAAGTTTTAAGGATGGAAGATAGTTTTCCAGCGAAAATCCCTCGCTTAGCCGAGGAATGCTGCGGTCTTTTTAATTAAACTTATCTGAGCCGCGGAATGGTAAAAGCCACTTGATTAAGGCCCAGATAGGCATCAGTATCAGCATCATCGGCACCTCCCCCACCATGGTTTTCAGAGAGGAGCTCTGAAGGACCTTCCCAGGACGACAACTGTTGACTTGGCCCATGAATCCTTCGGCAAACGAAGGCATTCAGCGACTGCATTAATAATTCAAAAGTCAAATAAGCGAATGGGAATGTGTAGGCTTGGGCTTGGGCTTCCAAACAGAGAAGTCCTAGAACTGATTTAAATGGAGCACCAGCAGCACTTTCAGAAAATCTTCTACCCAGAATATAACATACTAACTACATCGCCTCAATCATAATCAATGAAAATTGTGGAGAAAAGCGGAGTTCCCCCTCGGATTTTCCGCTTAGTCAGACGCATCATCTGTCAGTCTGGCACGTCTCCAAGTCCCCTTCCCTTGGAAAAATCCTCAAACCCCTCATAAAAGTGACAAATTGAGCATTTTCCAGTGTTTCTGATGGCAAAAGATGAGCTCGATGGCGGAAGAAAACTTTTCAATTACTCCTAGGACTCGTAATGAATAATCATTATCCTGCCGCTGCCTGTTCAATTTTTTCCTGTTCATATTTATCGATGTGTATTATTTACTCCGCCCCACTCCTCCGGCAAACCCAATTTGAAAGGACTTTCAAGGAAGTTGGAGAAGAGGCCCCGGAGGCTCCTTCCCGGCCCGTTTCAATTATAAAATGGCTTTCGTTTCTAATTGAATCGCTAGCTTGGAGGCGGGGGCTGAGTTAATATTTTATTTCCAGCGATTGCTCCTTCTCCATTTGGCTGCGGCTCGGTGTTTGCTTAGCGTTTCCAGTTCCACGGTTCCTCTCGAACCCTAAATGCCCTGCCAAGGCCCCCCCACCTCCACCGCCATTCTGGTCTATCCACTTCACTCCACTCCACCCCAAATCCCATTTGTTGTTGCTTGTTCTGGGCCAACAGCCTCGGGGCCTTCACGAGTAGCAACCAAGATGGGGATTCCCCCGGCCCGCCACCTCGAAAGTTCTACATCCACTTCTCATCCATCTCATGATAAACAACCAAAATGTTTTTGGGCCCTACTATAGGATATCCATCGCCTTGACTATTAAAACTCTGATGGAATCTATTTTGGCTAAACAAAAAACAAAAACACAGTACAGAAACAGAAACAGAAAAACAAATTTCGCATTCGAGTAAACTGAAACTCGAATTTAGTTTGGCCCACGGGCCTGGTGTTGGGTTGCGCACAAAATGCGAATAGTTTTCAGGGACCCATTGGGAAATATATCCAATTGCAATCGGCTGAAGGCTAGCCTCATTACATTTAAATGTTATGAATCACTCAGAAAAATTTTAGATTTAATAATAATAATAAAGAGAGTAGTAAAGACTAGTAAGAGACTACAAAGACTAGGACTATCATAGAAACTAAGTTAGGATTTGAAATAAAAAATATTAATAAATAGATTGAAGAGTTTATTGGAGTTCTAGAATTTCGAATAAGAAAAATAAATAGAAAATAGTTTATAGAATTAAAAACGTATTTGTATGACATATTTCTGATAGTTCCTTAACCTCTCAGATCTTAAATAATTTATGAAAATTTAGGACTACTTAATATTTGTATCTCAGAAACATTTACCAAAATTTAAGCACCTAAAGCTTCACACTTCAGCCTTAAAAACTATCTCTTTATCAAATACTAATATTTATAATTTAAATAAGACCTTATTTGGCAAGTGCATTCCGGGTGGAATTCGATTTTATTTGGCAGACGGATAAACATTCGAGCCGCCGCGAGCGAACCTCATTAAATTGACGTAAATATTTGACAATGGACTCCGTACGGAAAATGGACTCCGTCCGTCCTCCAAAAACAATGCGAAATGTCCTTTGCTGACCGGACAAATTGTTGGCCATAAATTTTGATAACTGATTAAAAGTAACGAGGTAAACACATATACCTGACTGGCTGGCTGCCATACCTGGACCTTGTTTGTATGAACATTTAATGCCGAATTGTTTGGCGAAATTGTTGTAACAACAATTGGGGACTGCACTCGTCCTGATCTGACCCTCACTTTTTGGGCCAACAAAAATCCAGCGGGGCCTAATGGCCAAAATGTTCGTCGGACTGGCTAATTTGTGCTGGCAATTAATTTACATTACTGGGGGGATCAGGGAGGAGTGGGGCGGGATAAGGGTGGACCCTGGTCGATTTGTTTCTATTTTGTAGCATTTTGTTGTTGCGCTTCAGTGAGCAAACGATTTCGGGCACCGGGACTACATGTGTCCTAAATGGATTTTGTTCCGAAATTATATGGCATGAGGCCCTAATGAAAGACATTCATGCTCATGTTCGTGGCCGAATTGGGTCGTTGTTCTACCGACATTATAGTCCAGTATAGGCCAAGGCAATTAAATTCACAATTTGTGCGATTTCGCCTGATGACAGTTTCCACTTAATGTGGGATTTTCTAATTACGAAGCGTTTGGAAATTACTTTTGCAATTATGTATATTCTTCTCATAAAGTAGGGATAGTAATTGATGTTTTTATTGAAGCATTTTATAATTTTCGGCTCATTTGCAGGAAGGGCTTCTACCGCATTAATTAAACATAAAAATTGTATGTTTTTCTGTTTCTAATTTGAAAAAGAAAAGCATAGTTTTCTGTTCAAATTTGGTAATTAATGGCTTTGTACTGATTGGAGCAAAACTATAATTTGGTGTGTATGTTTATGGATATTAAGGGCTTGAAAATAATATTCCCATGTTTGAGAATCAAATTACTTTTAATAATTCCCATAATATCCATAATGAAAATGAAAATGCTGTTCATTTGTGTGGCTTCCTAGAATTTAATTTTAATGAGTTTGCTGTGTAGTTGTGCTTTTGTTAGTCATTGTGCTAAAGTATTACTTTTTCGTGTGAAAGCCCACAGAGCCTGGTAACAAACCAAAGACCTGTAGGACTTGCTACCCAAAGGCATACATCCTTACCCCCTTGGCGAGCCAAAAATGGAATAACAAGCCTGCTCTGCAGTGCCGGCCTAGTAAATAACCCCATAATGACCAGCTCACATTTCCACATCCAGTTGATCCAGATCCACATCCACATCCAGATCCTGCCCTGGCCTAGGCTTCTAGGCTGGCCAGCCGCCATTTAACATGAAATACAACCTCAATTACGTTTTACGAGTTTAACTCAACACCGTGCGGTTGTCTGATGGGAATTTTCAATATTATGTGGCGTAAATTTATAGGGCCAAGTGACAGAATCGGAGCTAAGCGACGACACACACAGGAGCCAAGGACCAACGACCCAGGACGGTAGACGGTGGACGAAAAACGGAGGACTTTTATCTCTGCCACACTGGCAGAAGTGCCGTAAAAGTATCTCAACGACAGCTACCCAAGCCTCGACTCCCCACCCACAATTTTAAAGCCCCTCTCGACTGACGAAGGACGCGCCCAGACAATGGGCAATAATCATTGATTTATGGCTGTCATTTCGGTTATTAAAATGATATTTTCTCCCGAAACGAGTGAAAGCGTAAATCTGGCAGTGGAACGACATCTTAGCCCGGCTATCTGGGCCAGGACACCAGGCCATTGGCTTTCCTTTTTTTTCCATTTTTCCTTTTTTTTTTTTTACAGTTTTATGTCCTTAATTGAAACAT